TGTCTTTCTATATCCTCGTTGTTGTTTATAGTTTCAGACCTGCTATGTAAGTTTATTGCCCTAATCTAATGTCGGTCAATGTCCTTGTTGTTATCGTTTGTGATAAACAACTTTTAGGCCAGCTGGGTAATATGATGTCTGTTCTTTTCCTCATTGTTCATTCGTTGGTTCGTTCAGGGCAAACAGTTTGCTGAATAGCTAGGTAATATACAGTATGTTCAACGTCTGTGAACATTGTCAACGTTGTTGTGGTTGCTGACCAACTATATACTAACATCAGTCATGTGTATTCAAGAGTATTTGATGTCTTTACTATGTCATTTCTGTTGTTTAATCATCTGATGATAAAAGCATTACATGCTGTATGAATATAACCGTTAATTATTTGTCGGTATTTGCTAAAATTTTAGTCTCTTTACCAATTGTTCTAATGATGTGACAAATTAATAATAATTAAATTAAATTTAAACCAAAGATACAGTTATTTGATGGCTCATATTCATCTTCAATAGACTTTAAATGTCTAAATAAAATTACCAAAAATATGTGAAATTTTTTTATTTTTGTACTAAAAATGTGATTGCATACATCCAAAATAATGTGCAGGATTTGTAACGTTTGTTTTTGCTAAAGTCGCTCTTAAATTCCCAACAAATTTGGTTGTAAAAGGTTCTTAAAGGTTCATGTCGGACAATAATCGTTGTTAGTTTTTTGGTGTTGCATTGCATGTTTGTGTATTTTGATTCCTGAACAAAATCTTTACACATAGTAATTCATTATATTATAATTGCGGCTAAAAATCATTGCTGTTTAATAATCATGTAACATCAAATTTGGGGTGATATTGAAATCTAATAAACCAATACAAAACAAATTTAATCAGAACCGCGCCATTTATAACAGCAAGACTTGAGAGTAACAGAGCTTCATTATGACAAGGGCTCAGTATAAACCCTTACCAGGCCGTTAAAAAGATACAAGACTATTGTAATATCTACCAGTACCTAGGGTACATTATTACATCATCAATAAAATTGTAGTATTGTAAATCTTTTAATTTTCACTGCTAGAAATTTTATGGTGTTTGTGAAGAAAAATTTTGAAAAAGTCTGACATTCCATGTCTTAGAATTTTTATTGCTACAGAATTTCATGATTTTCATTGACTTTGAAAACTTGTCTTTCACAAAATTAAAATTACAGTTGTTTTTTTCATGGTCAGTATCTGGTCTTTTTCAGTAATTTTCATGTTTATTTAAATTGTGTACCAGTTGATACGAGTAGCTGGATGACGTCAGAGCGTGGAATGTCCGTGGGTGAATTTGATAGATACTGGTATGGAGATACCGTATGTTATTTATATGATATCATGCGTTGTGCTTTCACAACAACCGAGCAAGGTGCTAATGTTGACAATTATTCAAATATACTATAAACATTTTATGATAAATATTTTAATTTTTTTTGGCTCATTAGTAATCAAATTCATAAAACCTATCGATGTGTTACTGAAAACTTTATACATGGAAATATATATTGATTAGTAATAAATTTTGCTAGAATTAATCCATTCAGTTTTAACTTCATTTCCTTGGGGGGGGGGGGGGTGTCATCCGCTAATTACACAGAAATTTATGAGGATGTAATGTGAGGTTGTAGTTTGTTTATAATTCTTTCTTTTTGATTATAAATATATTGGCAGTGGTTCATGCAAGATATTCATAATAAATTGTATCATTATAATGTAACAAAACAGTATGATGATTTCTTGATTTTGAGGTTTGAGTATGTATGTATTGATGTAATACTAACAATATTGTGGATTAAACATTGAAATTTAGTTAACCGTTGTTTCTATTTAAAGTATCCATGCTGTTGTGCACCGTCATGTTCGTTCTATGCAACATATACAATGTGATACTTTTTACCTCCGCTGTTGACTTTGTCGAGCGGAGCTTATCATATGAGTGATTGTCCGTCGTCTGTCCTCCGTCGTCCGTGCCAATGTTTACTTATTTGACTTCTTCTTGAAAACTACAAGCCTGAATGCTTTGATACTTGGTGTATATGTACCTTGGGTAGATCTCTCTCAGATTTGTTCATTTCATGATCATATCTTCAATTCTCTAAGACTTCTTGTTAAAAACCGCAAGTCCAATTGCTTTGATATTACATATATAGGTACTACACGTGGACCTCTCTCAGATTTGTTCATTTTGTAATGATATCTTAAATTCTCTAATTTTGGTGAATATTTTTGTCATTTTTGGTAAAAAGTGATATTTTCGACTTCTTGTTAAAAACCACAAGTCCAATTGCTTTGATATTACATATATAGGTACTACATATGGACCACTCTCAAATTTGTTCATTTCATGATGATATCTTCAATTCTCTAATTTGATGAATATTTTTGTCATTTTTGGTAAAAAGTGATATTTTCAACTTCTTGTTAAAAACTGCAAGTCCAATTGCTTTGATATTACATATATAGGTACTACATGTGGACCATTCTCAAATTTGTTCATTTCATGACGATATCTTTAATTTTCTAATTTTGGTGAATATTTTTGTCATTTTGGGTAAAAAGTGATATTTTCTTCTTAAAAACCACAATCATTTATGGTGAAAAATGATATTTTTGAATTCTTGTTGAAAACAGCAAGTCCCATTGCATTGATACATGTACTATGCATATTGTTCATTTTCTAATGATATCTTCTGTTCTTTAATTGAAATGTGCATTACTAACAGCGGAGCTATCTCAGCCGAGAGGCTGCTTGTTTATTTCTTATATTACAATTTTTAATATAATAAAATATATTATATTTAACAAGTGCTCTATCAAGTTTTATAATTCATCAATTTAATTGAAATTCATCTGTGATCGGTGTGTTCATATATCCCTTTAATCAACAAAGATGGTAACTTTGTGTGGAGTTTGTGGAAAATGTGCTACCTGGTTATTTAGTCTATTCACCATATGCTACTGTTTACACTGCTGTATGTCTAGAATTTATGTGATGGTTAATATTTGACAGGATGTAAACCAGAAAATTAACAGAGACTACCGCTATAAATAGGCTCATTCCACAGTTCATTTTTGTTGTGGGGAGTCTTATTAGGCTTTTGTGCACCAAAATATTAAACGTCTTTTCCAAATACGTAAATTTTGATGCACAAATTTGTCTTAAATTTCCAAAACTATGGTCTTGAAAAAGTTGTTAATTTCATATGCTGAAACCTGTAGGAACCCTGCACAACCACAGACCCTAAGGTCTATGGTAATACTTGCATATTTTGATTGGTGTTCATTTTATGAGGGTTTACATGATTATACATTTCTGTTTTCTCTCTCTAGGACTGGAATTCTTTGAAACAAGTGCAAAGGAAAATATCAACGTGAAACAGACCTTTGAACGGTTGGTTGACATAATTTGTGATAAGATGTCGGAAAGCTTGGATTCTGATCCCACGATTGTGAGCAACTCCCAGACAGGAAGGAAGCTGACACAGGAACCACAGCCATCCAATTCTGGCTGCGCATGCTAATCATCAAGAGTGAACTCATAGAATTTCTTTTAAAATGACCATCAAACGTGTTTGAGTGCAAAAAAGAGGGGGAGGGGAGGGGGGTTGAGAGTGCAACAAAATGGAATATGTTTTATGGGTGGCTTGTAGTCTGAGATCCTCGACAGCTATGATTCGTCTTAATTAAAATCCAACTTTTTTAAAAGTTTTAGCCAGAATGTCATCCAATTTATGCTTATTGCGGAGACAAAAAATATTATAATTATAAATAATTAAATTATATTTACTGTGAAGTTTCAATTTTCAGTGGACCATTCCGGCGTTTTCAAAATTTCAGCCAATCACATCACATCACATGTTACATCCTTGTTCTGTTTTCCTGGCCAACATTTCAGCCAATCACATTACATGTTACATTTCTGTTTCCCTGGTCAACATTTCAGCCAATCACATCACATCACATGTTTAAGAACATAAAAATGATGATTAATCTTCGTTTATTTTCTATGATCACTGTATTTACCGAACCCCCCTGAATGAATTGCACTGTTGATAATCGAACAATGCACATGATACATCTTTGAGAGACCTGAGAGCGTATTTATAAAATCTCATTTGTCAGAAGATTGTATTAACACCATGAAGTGCTTACTAGAACAGAATTTATCTTGGCATTTTACATATCCACAGTTCTCCCGTGTGATCAATAATCTCATTCTGTGAAATAAGATTTATATTCATTAAAAAATAATGTCATGACTGTGCGTAACCCTGACCACTTTCATTTCCCTTCTATTTCCATTTTATTAGTTTCCTTTTGTAATGGCTCACTTGCCCTCGAGATATTCAGAGTGGCAGTGATTGGCTGAATTGTGAAAGGTGTCGTCATTTACGTCAATACATCTGCCCTATTGCATTTGCATTTGATTATGCTGAGGCCTCATGGGGAGGTTTCGTATTCCCAGTTTCTCTGTGTAAACCCATACACTGACTGGGGAGCTATTTTTCAGACGATACTGTTTTAATAACAACAGATCTTTAAATGCATTGCAGTGTAGTTGAAAATAGCTGCTGAAAAGGTTTAAAATTGCTTATTTTTGGCGACAGTCACTGTTTGCTATTAATAATCAAGTTTTGGGTTTTGTTTACAGACTACGCATAATATCAGCGTTCTTCTCCATATAAGGACATGATAACTCCTAATTTGTACAATCTAGTACCATTAATGTCAGGCATTCTCCATATATGGCTGTCATAGCTCCTTATTTTTACAGTGCGATGACACATTTGATTTTGACAAACAATTCTATTTTTTCGTTTCGTCAAAAAAACCAAGTGCAATGTTTCATCAAAAGGAAACATCTAAGTGAAACACGTTAGACCTAACGTCTCTCCTAATGTGAAGAGGAATGCAAATGTATTGAAAAATGCTGGTATGAGATACAAAAGAAGATACATGTATCTGGTGCTTAGGTACTTACTATTAAAGTCCAGATTGGGGAGGGGGAGGGGTATAGAACCAAACAGGGTGGCAGTGCAGAAACACTTCTCATTAAATTTTCAATAGTATGAATAGACAAAAAGGAAATTTAGTTGAATATAAATTATTTATGGTAGGATCTGATTTAAAATTTTAGCAAATTAAAAAAAAATAAACAGTTGTGCTTTTTGTGTTGTAAATGTGTAAAGACAAACCAGTGCAATTCATATGACTATTCCAAACTGCTTTATGGTTTCCCAGTGATATTGTATTTATATATACTCGCTCAAACTCAATGACAACCATTTTAGTCGAATTTTATTTTTCTTCTATTGCTTGCATGAAAAAAATGACTTTGTTGATCTTTTAGCAACCAGCCTCAATTCTTATGAAAAAAAGAAATGTTCCACATTTTAGATTGTTTGTTTAGTATTTATTTACTCCTAAGGGTATATATATATATACATGTATATTTTAAAAACACAATGAAGGACAATACTAGTATTTACCGTGAGATTTTATCGTAGAAGAATGGATTCTCTTTAAGACAAAATCTTTAACTGTCTTTTGAACACTTGTTATGGACGTTAGGTTTTGTTTTTTTCATATTAATGATTTTGGGGTGTTGCCATGGTGTCCATGCTAGTCTAAGCATGACCCCCTTCCCCTCTTTTCCTTTATAGTAGTTTGGTTGACCGTTTCAGGGTTTCTTGATAAAATCCATGCATGCTGAGAGAATAGACCATGATGGAACGCCGGAGTTGACCACAGTGCAATATTCATGCCTCTTGAATTTTAATTTTAATGATTAGAATTTTCAACAAAATAAAACAAAATTAGTTCTTAGTCCGATGGTGATCTGAAATTATGTTGGCGTGAAAAGAATGTAGATTTTCAAAATATGTTTCGCTAGTCTTAGTTTATGTGAATTATTAGTATGAAATCATACACCATCAAGAAACACTTCTGAAATGAGAAACTGTGGGTACAGTAGCCATGGCAACACATCCAATTGTCCAAACCGTAGGTGCTCAGTTTGTTGACTTTTAGCAGTTGTGCCGTTGATTTGAAATTGCTTGCAGCTACGTGTACCTATACAAATTCCTACATTACATTTCCTAGCAATAGAATAGAACATGTATAAACAAATATACTATATAAATGACATATTACTAGAATACATTTAAAAAAAAAATCATTTAGTCAATGTAAATTAACCATATAAAAAAACAAAAAAAAAACAAACATGTTGCTTGTCTTGTATTCGTAGAGCAGCAGCCCAAGCTGTTTATTTTCCAAGGTTGATCAACTTAAAGCTCCCTAGTTGTATCATGTTTGCAAATAACCTTTTAACTTGCTGAATATTTTTTCAAGACAATCTTGAGACATTGTGTCTTTTATCGCATAGAGATCTGTTTATAGTAGGAAGCGCCACATATTCAGCAAACAAAGGCATGTAATCTCAAAGCAATTTGAATGTATCGTATTATTATTCTTTATATATTGTGTACCAGTTGAGACTATTAAATTGTGTATAATACGTTGGGCTGGCAATTGTGTTGTCTCCTCTTTATTCTGTAATACTGTAAAATGTAATAATTATTCACTTGGTTTTTATTATTTCACTGTTTTTGCTGGTAAGTGAAATTTGGTAAATTAAATCCACACATGAGTAATATAAATTGCTGTTTGACAAATCTGATTTTAAAACAGTCTATTACCAGTATTAAAAGACTGTCCGTGAAAATCATGCTTTTACAGTATCTCATTTTCATCTGGGAAAGTATGGTAAACTGTACGCTGCATCTGCATTATACATGCTGAATTACATGGGGCGGAGGGCTGAAGATATTTAAAAAAAAATTACCGATGATGACAACTACATAATAAAAAGGGAGAGAGTGAATGAATAAATATATTTCACAAGCCTTCCTGATTTGGAAAACCCTTACAGATATTTGTCTCAATCTCACCCAGTAGAGACAAAATATTCATCAAGCTGACCTGTTTCCTGGTACATTTAGATTTAGTTTGGTTTTACTTTTGTTTCATGAGTAAATTATTCTATTCATCAGTGGCCTTTAGCATGGTGCCCTTCTGAACTTCTGACTATGCTGTTGTACTGATAGGGGAGTTTTAGAAATGTAAATGTTCAGCCAATGCATTGTAAAGGCTGTTTGTCTGCATTTTTATCTCGCCTATGGTACCATATGCTTGTTATATCACCAGTAATGCAACAATGGGGTAAATTGTGGTTGCTAGGGCCAGAAATACAACTATTGTTAATGGCAGCTCTTCAGTTTCTATTTAAGTTAGTTATGTATCCAAGCTAGACACAATTTGTCTAATTACTGTCAGCCAGTTGACTCCAGAATTAAAAATAATGTTATTACCACCTGGCCCCTCTGAATTATTGGTAATGCCTGTTTATTTACTATCGCTCCACTGTCCTGGAAGAAGACACAAGCCTTCATTCATCAAATGAAAAATTACGATTCACTTTGTGCTAAGTTGTCGAAGCAGTATATTCTTGTTGACACCCCCCCCCCCCCTAATTGCTAGGAAGCCTTATGTTAAAGTCATGAAAGCTGTCTAGTGCAAGGATTGTGACATCCTACAACGCCATAAAGCTTTATCTTTCCATATTTGTGACAGAGCAATTGGTTGAGTAAGCCACTATCTCTGGTGTCCTCGGCTTCAGGCAGGAGATGCAGCAACTTACAAGCTCTATTCTTCGCTGATAATTTACCTGTACCATTCTTTCAGGCTGACTCGGACAGGTTATGAAATGATCACCTATCTAGATGAACAGACCTCCCCTATTTTCATCCCATGGTTGAATCTGGCTCCCAGAACAACAAGGACGACAGCATGCCCTGTGCTCATGCACACCAGAAGCATCACCGGAAGCATCACAGTTATGCAACCATGGTAATTGTTGTTTCTATGGCCAGTTATGCAACCATGGAAAAAATACGCCGGTTATCTATTAAGATATAAATGGCCCCTACCTACAAAATGATGATTGTGATGTGAATGAGTAGGTCCAAGACAAATAAAATGATCTCTGATGAACTATAAAACATGTAATATTCGCTACATCAGCTAGTATTACCATTGTGTTAGCCATCAACCTGAGGCTGTATATTGATATATTGTGAGTCACTTGAAGTCCACTGAGTGCCTGCAAGGCTGAGTGTTAAATCTTTTTCAAACATAATCATTTCACTTCATACAGTGCAAAAAGCCCACGCAGAGCTGTGTCTCGAGGTCTTGTCTCTACGCTTTGTAAAAAAATATTAAAACTAGGTCTATTTTTACTTTGTTGCTAAGAACTTCTGGCAGTCTCTATAGTCTGTCTGCATCATCCTGTGCTTCTCTTGATTACTAGCATTGTATCCCCATTTCAATGTGAAATTATAAACAAATGATTAAGCAAATGTAGTTTGTATTACTGTCATGTCAGTACAGATTCAGTCAGGAATGTAATGAAAAACATATTTCAACACAAGAGGGCGCACTATTTTTTTTAGTCATTGATGAAACAAGCGAGCCGACGATTAAAGACAGTAGAAGAGTGGATACTGCTGACGAAACGGCGTAGCAGACTGATAATGAATCAGTATTCAATGATAATTATTGTATATAGTCCCACGATATTTTCTCGTAGGTTTACGTCAGCAGACACCAGTGATTACCGCCAGAGATTTGTATCAATCCAAGCTGCAGGCGACTCTGACAGTAATCAGGGGTGTATGTTGACCCGGATGTTGACGTCATCGTATAAGAGAAAATATCGTGGGATTATGTATTTATCACACGCATATATCCACAATACGGCGTAGTGGAACGGCGGGGATGATCAATCGTTCGAGTTACGAACATCAAGTTAGGAGAACATCGAGTTAGAAAAATGAACACGCACACTTTTGAGAAACCACGATGACTTGATGATCAATTACTAGTTGTTAGAACTTCGAGCTACCGGCAACATGAATTTTTGTTTTTGTTGAACCTCCACGTTTAGTAACTCGAACTTTTATTAACTGTTAACCGAACTTCGAGTTACGGGGCAACATAGATTTTTTATTCTGTTTCAGTGATTTTCAGTGGTCTTCCCAGGTTCTTAATAATATATTTTCGGGGGATACAGTAAATCTACATGACATAAAAAGGTGTTCGTATGTTATACTAGTACTCGTTACAGAAAGTACATTGGAACTCATCAGGAAATTGTCCTGGATTTTATTACTGGAAGCAGTCTGTTTTGTTTTCTTTGCAATTCAATTAATTCCTTGCCATATGATCATTTACTGTTTTATGCACCACTTCGAGACACGATAATTTTCAAAATAGGTATTTGCCAGAATATAAGTAAACTTGGATAATCCAAATTGAGAATTTGATTGTTTCCAAATAATTCCACTGATTTAAAACTTTTCTCAAAATATTTATTGGTTTTTCAATGTTTATCTTTTGCATTTCTTCCTTGTCATGTGAAAAATGGACTTCCCAAAATTTTAATAGGCGTGATGGGCCGTTTAATTTGACCCCAAACTTTTTTTTCTTTTTTGTTTCTCCATTTCCCCAACCAGACTTCAATTTTGTCTCTTTTAATTTTCAACACCTGTATTAACGTGTCTGCCGTATTGATGATGCGAGCAATATTTCTCTTACCTTGAATGCTGATGAGTAGAGTTTCAAGCACAGATATAAATAAATAGGCTGTAGGGGCGGATCTAGGATTCTGGAATGGGGGGGGGGGGGGCATAAGTTGGCCGAAAGGCCAAGTTCGAGCGCCGATGACGCGAAGCCCTGTTGTTTGTTAAAAATAGGGGGGCCGCGGCCCCCTCGGCCCCCTCTAAATCCGCTCATGGGCTGGTGACAATGGATCACCGTGACATACGCCTCTATAGTACAGTAGCAATCGCCTTGAAATGCACGGTGTCACATTATTATAATCAATATTCAACAGAGAAATCGGTGTCAATTTCTTATCTCTGTTTGGATTTGGAAGTAAAGTGGTAATCCTTTGTCCCTGAGTGACTGCCATCTATGCGTGTTAAAGAGAGCGAATAACAAAATGTAAAAATCAGAAAGTGACTAAATGAAATAATCTTTCATTTAGTTCACAACCTTCATCATTGTGTGTCGTTTTGTCCTGTTTCTTTAGTATTATTTTCTGCTCTGTGAAAGTATTTTTCTCGTCTATAATAATAGGGGTCATTTCTAGGCTCAGAAAAAAAAAATTTCCACATTAATCCAGCTACCTAGCCCGTCATCGGATTATTATTGAATTTAACTGTTCTTTTTTCATCTCATTATCTGCATGAACGTACCATGTAATAAGCACTTGCCACTGTATGTGGCCAAAAAATGTAGAACACTGTGAAATATTGAAGCAAGCTATGATAACTATCATATTAATGATCATCATAACAGCAAGAAAATAACTGAAGAAAACCAGTCAGCAGTTCCGTACACCTAACCATCAATATCACAAGGCTAACAATCAGCTGAACAATACAACTACGAAGCCTGTAAATCAAATTTGAGGCAACATTGCTTACTTATCAAAAAATGGGTTTCAATTTAATATTATTCCTATAAATTAAAATAGTGAATATGCAAAATTTACAACCACAGTCGGTTGGTATCAGTGATGTTTTGGACACGGGCTACATCACAAACTAAGTTACTATCCCTGCACAATCAAATAGAGATCAGAGATAGGGGGTCTAAGTCACTTTTTTGCAATGCTAGGGAGGTCAAAATGGCTTCTCTGTGTGAATGACAGAAAAGACTCGTTGCAACTTTCGTCGGCAAGTTGTAGGGTCGTTTGCTCTGTGTACGGTGGACGCTTGTCATTAGACAAGCAACATAAACGGAAACAATTCACCATAGTTTCGAAATGTTGCATAAGCAGATTAACTGTGTAGATTTCTATTGACCACGAACAACACATCACATAACCAAATGTTTACATTATGTGTCGACACAGAACAGCTTTAGTTATTGTGTTTGTTATTTTCTTGGACTATTTGATGGTGGAGTGTAAAATGTTCCAATATCCCAGGTATTCATACAAAAAGAAACCAAAATCAGTAAGTATATATTAATATTGTTGTCGCTTTGCTCTCTCTCTCTCTCTCTAATGTAGCTGTGGAATCATAGCCCTATGTTGCCGACCGCATTATTTACGTGACTGACTCTGGCCGGCCCATAGGGTTGTTGTATGTTTGACGTAGAACAACAAAATTAAAAAGAAGACGTCCAAATGAAATTGTTTGGGCGAAATTCGATTGTAGGTCGCACCAAAGAGCTACGAAACCGCAGCTATCTCTAATGTGACCAGTGTGTAGCCAGAGTTCAGAAC